ACTGAAGTATTCCGGGGGTACATCGTTTGCATAGTTGCACATATTGCACACAAACTTGTTACCCCCAGATCTGAATACCATAAATGGGTTGATGTATGCACGGCATCGATGACATCTAGGGGGGCCCGTTTCTCCAAAGTCCAAAACCGGTATCTCGAGCTCCCCTGGCTGCAATGGGGCTAATGGTTGTAAGAGAAGACCAAGTGGCAATCCAGTTGAATGTAACGCATCTGCCGTGGATGGAATGTTGTTCATTGTCAAACGTGCAAACTTCGGCGAAGCGTTTCCTTGGTCATAAGCAACAAACGGCACTGTGGCCGCTGGGGGAAGATGATGCTCAAATGTTGGGTATACGTTCTTCAGATAATACTGCGCTATCGCATCTCTCGATCGAGGTACACTTGGAATTTGATCTGGATCCACTCGGCCTTGCGCCGAAGTCTGCACATTAGCAGAGAAACTGTCCCCGGGTCCAGTCGCAGCAGCATATTCATTAAGCGTGGCAGGATTCGCAGTATTGAACGGCGCATTCACAGGGGCAGGAAACTGGGACATTTGAGGTGTAATGGGCGAATTAAGGAACTGGCCGCCTGGAGACGGCATTGATGAAGGGTCGGCATTGAGATAAGCTGAAGGAGGAACGCCGCCCTGTGGCATCCCATTAAATGCTTGCGAAGAGCCTTGAGCTTCGACAACATGATATGCGTGCCTATCCTTCTTCTTTTTCCTAGGAGCTGGTTGTTGATTCGATATCTGTAAATTCTCCATGCCGAGATCGTTTGGGTCTGTGGGAAGCATCATGGGATTTCCCTGACCTTGGTAGAGAGGCTGGCCCCCATAAGAAGACTGCTGTTGCTATAAATCATGATCAGCTCATGGACAGAAGCAGGAAACGATCCCTAGAAGACCTGAAAATAGAACAGATTGCCTTACAAAGGGAGGTTGCGCCATTTGTCTGTCGAAGATTCAGATAGCTGCAAGATATTATAATATTATATGAATTTGCAATAGTAGAAAGTCCGCGACGACAAATGTCATTAACAGGAAGAACTGGCAAAAAACATTGAAATACAAGCCAAGGTATTAACTGGATGGAATTGAGGATATAAATTCCGCCCACGACTTCCTTAAGGCTACCTTGCCTTATGTACCCAGTAATTTCGGACCAGGCCTAAACCTTAAATTTTTAGCGTGTTATCACATTATTGGGCACTAGGTCGCGGCTACAGCCTTTCAAGATAGCCTTGCATTGCTCTTTATTATCGTCAACCTTGAGTCAAATACATCGTATTCCTTTTCTCTTTTGTATTCATCACAGAATGCGATAGCAATGTTTACCTTTTGTTCCTTACAGGGAGCGCAATCCGAATCATCGGCGTCGCAATCATTACTTGAGCTTGATGGAGGGATCAAGGTGCTGATTGATGTAGGATGGGATGAAACTTTCGACGTGGAAAAGTTGAGGGAGCTGGAGAAACAAATCCCTACGCTTTCACTTATCTTACTTACTCATGCGACCGTTCCTCATATCGCAGCTTACGCACATTGTTGCAAGCACTTCCCTCTCTTCACTCGAATACCTGTCTATGCGACACATCCTGTCATCGCGCTTGGGAGAACTCTGTTACAAGACTTATATTGCTCAACACCACTAGCATCAACCATCATACCCACAACGTCCTCTTTCCTCCTTCAATCCCCAACGAAAGAAGAAATTAACTACTACTTCTCGCTGGTTCGTCCTTTGAAATATTCACAGCCTCATCAACCACTGAATGGGGTAACAATTACGGCCTACAACGCTGGACATAGTTTAGGAGGCACGATATGGCATATTCAACACGGACTTGAGTCTATAGTATACGCAGTGGACTGGAATCAAGCTCGTGAGAATGTTTTGGCTGGTGCAGCTTGGTTGGGTGGGGCTGGGGCTGGAGGAGCTGAGGTTATTGAACAATTACGGAAACCGACCGCGTTGATATGCAGTAGTAAAGGAGGAGAACGAGTTGCTTTACCTGGAGGTCGGGCCAAGAGAGATGAACTTTTATTGGATATGATTAGATCATCAATTAGCAGAGGAGGAATTGTCCTTATACCGACAGATTCTGGAGCGCGAATGATGGAACTTGCATATCTTCTAGAGCATGCTTGGAGAACAGAAAACCAGGAGGAAGAAAGTGCATTCAAATCCGCGAAACCTTATCTAGCAGTGAGTACGAGCGAAATGACGATGAGATATACAAGAAGTATGTTTGAATGGATGGACGAAGCTATCATTCGGGAGTTTGAAGCGCAGCCTGGCCATGAGGAACAACGAACTGGACAACAAAGGAGAAATGCAGAGGAAGCAAAACAACACATTGGCCCATTCGAGTTCAAACACCTTCGATTGCTTGGGCGAAAGGGTCAAATTGATCGAATGTTGAATGATACGGACAATTTAGGACGATCAGTAGGGAAGGTCATCCTTGCTAGTGACACTTCCATTGAATGGGGATTTTCGAAGGAGGTCCTATGCAAAATCGCGGATGATGACAAGAATCTTTTGATTTTAACAGAGCGACTGAATCCGATAAGTGGAGCTCCAGGTCTAGGAAGAACTTTATGGTCATGGTGGGAAGAACGACGCGATGGAGTCACTTCGGAACCAAGCTCAAGTGGAGGAATGCTGGAACAGGTGTACGGAGGAGGAAGAGATCTTGAAATCAGAGAACCCAAACGCATACCATTAGAGGGTAATGATCTGACTGTTTATCAACAGTGGTTGGCAACACAACGTCAATTGCAGACCACTCTTCAACCGGGTGGCGCTACAGCTCTCGAGGCTTCTGCTGATATTGTTGATGATGCTTCATCGGATTCATCGTCAGATTCTGATGACTCTGAGAATGAGCAGCAAGGAAAGGCACTTAACATATCCGCAACCATGGGCCAAGCAAATCGGAAGAAGATTGGCTTGAGTGATGAAGATCTTGGCGTTAATATTCTTCTTCGGAAGAAAGGCGTTCACGATTTCGACGTGAGAGGGAAGAAAGGCCGTGATAAAATGTTTCCTATAGCGATTAGGAGGAAGCGAAATGATGATTTCGGAGAACTTATTAGACCGGGTGAATTTCTACGGGCTGAAGAACGAGACGAGGTGGATGGTCAGGAGCCACAGCGACCTGGAAAATATGATACGAAAGATACCCTTGGCAAAAAAAGAAAATGGGATGATGTTGCGGCTTCCGGTAAACGTCGAGCGTCGAATGAGGGGAAACGACAACAGATCGGCAATAATGAGGAGGGCTCAGTTGCAGATGTTCCAGAAGAGGATGACCTAATGGATATTGTAGAAGAAGAGATTCCTGGACCATCCAGACTGGAAATATCAATCAAGACGCTCAAAATAAATCTTCGAATTGCATTTGTCGACTTCTCTGGACTTCACGACAAACGTAGTCTTCAAATGTTGATACCTCTAATCCAACCTCGGAAGTTGATATTAGTTGGCGGTATGAAAGAAGAGACATTAGCACTCGCAAGCGATTGTAGAAAGCTTCTTGGTAGCACGAAAGAAAAACTCATCGATGTGTACACTCCAGAGATTGGTGTCATTATTGACGCAAGTGTAGACACCAATGCGTGGGCTGTCAAACTCACTGATTCTTTGGTAAAACAACTACGCTGGCAGAACGTCAAGGGACTAGGAATTGTTACTCTTACTGGCCGACTAGAAACTACACATATTGATAGCGAATCACACAACTCAGAAGGTGCCAATAAGAAGCAAAAGATGATAAAAGAGGAGTCAGAAGAAACTCCAACACAGGCAGCTCTTGATTCAGCAAAGGCTGTTGTTGAGATGCCAATTTTGGATGTCCTACCTTCGAATATGGCGTCGGCAACAAGATCGGTTGCTCAGCCATTGCATGTGGGTGATTTAAGGTTAACCGATCTGCGAAAAATTATGCAATCTTCTGGTCTTACTGCCGAACTCAGAGGAGAGGGTACTCTTTTGATTGACGGATCTGTGATTGTCCGTAAAACTGGCACTGGGAGAATCGAAGTAGAAAGCGTTGGCGTCACAACGAGTTCCTTTTACGCTGTTAAAGGGAAAATATATGAAGGTCTTGCGGTAGTGGCAGGTGGATAAAACATTAAGTCGGCTCTTCCAAGATTACAATCAAACTTCATTGGTCTTTTTAAAAAAATTAAGGATAGGCGAAGACTGCATCTTTTTGTACCAATATCATACATAGGGGGCCTCAAGGTTAGGCTTAGTCCTGCATTCACAAAATCTAACAATATACCCAAGATATTTGTTGGTGATTCATACTTTGATTGCTAAGTAATGCTTTAGTATGTTGCTGTTTCTGCTGTAGAATTTATTTTTGAATCATCAGAGGGAAGTTTCTTAATCGAACGTGTCTCATGATTCACAAACACTTTCCCCATTCACGACCATTGTTGTTTCTGGTCCGAATCTGACCCCTTTTCAGCGTCTATTTAATCAAGGCTCTTCTTTCTGACAACCTCAAACAATTCAACAACGCACTCTCTATCCATCCACAACACCCGTTTATACCCCTTACCGCTCATATATCTACAAATTTTAGACATTTTTCAATCAACTACCAGAACATAAGCTTCGGCATTTTTATGTTCAACCCGCCATCGTGGCGTCCGCTCAAGAACCAAACCTTGTAACTTTATCTTCATACGAAGACGTGCAGGTTCTTGTTTCGTACAAAACCCTTTGTGATCCTTTCGACAATATACAGCAGGTCCAGCTTCTCCGCATACAAATTTTCGACATCACCGGTTACGAGATCTTCTACTATCAAGAACTCGTAGCAAAATCTGATCTCTTGAGTGGTTGGAACAGATACTACGGTCGAGACCCGGGACCACCACCTCCACCATTTCCACCTCAACAGCCTTTTCCACCTAGGCAACAAATCTATCAACTGCCAATCTCACACAACCCCGTCGCATATTCTTTCAGTCTACAACAATAAATGGCCGGCATACCATTCAACTCCTACCACGGTCCAGATTCGGGTCCTCTTCCCCCAGGCGTCGGTATGGCATTCCCCAACTCCCCATTCCCCATGGGCTACGCACCATCGCCTTATGGCTACCCTGATTATTACTCTACTGGCTACGGCCCACCAGGCTTTGCAGCTCCTCCGTACCCTTTTTCCAGCACTCATCCCGCGCCTCCTTCTGCCGATAAAAGCGGTATGCCCGGTATAAACGTCAAGAATCAATTCGACGGTATCGGTCTTCCCCCAGGCTACAATTATCTCTTTCCCCCCTCTCACTGCCTTGTGCATGTCTTCATAACCGGCTCCACACCCCCTTGGCTCGCAAACTCCCCGCTCTATCCACATGATGTGGCTAATCATCGTAAGTTTTTTGTTCCATCTACCATGACGATCAAGGATATGATGCAGCAACTGGGTTGTAGCAATAAAGATGCGGATAAGAATGTGATGACGGAGGTCCAGGAAGTGGGGAATGGAAAGTGGACTAAGGGAATGGTTTTCAAGGGAGGGAATAGCCAGAGGATGAAGATGACGCTTGCAAGTTTGGGGTGGGAGATGGGAAGAAAGAGAACCGGGTTGCCGGGGCAAGGTCCGTTAATCTGGGTTTATCTTACTGGGGATTAGATGAACGTGGATGGGGGGAGTTTGGGATTCGGAGATGTGGGTAGAATGCTGGAAACGGGGTTGCAATAAGTGTCGTCGTTTCGAAGGATTTTTCTTTTCCATAACAAAGTGTGGCTTTCCACTCTGTGGTATTTCACGAGAATCTATTTGGGCTTTTGCATAATGGTTTAGTCGTATGGGATATGTTTGTCAAACAGGAATCGCAGAGAAATGCGAGGTTTCTATGGTACTATTAATCGAGTAGTTTACACATTCTACCAATATAACAATAGGTCATTTAATTAAATGAGTGCGCACAATCGTGATCTTACGTGGTTGCGTTTTGAAATTCTCCTTCCATACCTATTCGTGATCCATAACCAAGATATGTTGCATTGCATTCACTGTCGCTTCGCCCCTTTCAGTTTTCGCTTGCAACTCGCCTGTGTTCTGTGAATGGATCATCGTGGTCATAATTAGACTGATTCAGAAATGTTCCGGATATTCAAACATAGTTGGCAGATTTACTCAGGTGACTTTGAGATACAGGGACTGTATTGGTTTGTTTTTATATGAATGAGAAAAACACAACATTAATCATGGGGATTATATTTTTCGGGTGTAGAGATATGTATGAAAAGACCTCGCTTCTTGTACCGCAGGAATTCGATATTTCCCAGGCAAACAAAGATGTCCATACTATTCGAATGAGCATTTTCTTTTCTTCTTGTTTGTGATTCGCTTCCGTCTTGTGAAGGATAACAAGTGATCCGAAATTTAATGATCACGAACCCAATCAAACTTTTGACGGACGGACATCTTTTATACTTGGATGATGCAGTGGCACGCATGGATGCGAGACGCCCACCAGACTCGTAACAGTTGTAGCTCATTCAAGTTGACGATCTTGTCAGAGGGTCGGTCATGTTGACATTGTTCGATCAAGGAATCAGTCAGTCCCTCCAACTCCTAGAATATACAAGAGTAGCACAGCAGACTGCTTCAAACTGGCACCGTAAACCATGATGTCGGCCGCAGCAACCGCTGTTCGTGTAGATTCTGAAGACAAGATGTAGGGAAATTTTCAAGGTGGCGTTCCAGTTACGAAGAAATCACAAGAAGAATAGTTTTGCCACTGCCCATATGCGCTTTGCCCTTCGCTTGCACTTTTGTCTACTATCCATGAATGAATATGCGACAATGAATAAGAAACATTATGGAAACAATCGACTATCACTGTTCGGATATGCAAGCGTAGATAAGAATGATATAACCGGGATAACCGAAAGCTCTTTTAGGAAAGTCCATGCGAATCACGGAGTCAGAAATTCCACAAAACATCGGAGCATTTCCGATATCATGAACTCGATGCACACAATCCACATCGCCGTCGACACATCGAAATGCGTCTAAAGTTTAAGATGCCAAACCCTATCTGTTTCACAAACAACGATAATACATATGACAAGCAAACATCAAGTAAATATTTACTATTGCTAACCCACTTATCTTCATTCGCAGCAGATTCTTGAATCAAAGATCTACTAGTGATCTATCATCACTATTCCGACCCCGCGTTGCTCCTTTTGGAATGTCCATGCGAATGATAAAAGATAGGTGGATGAACTGAAGTGAAGTGGGGTTACTACAGGCACATAAACATGAAAAATACATGCAGTATCTAACAGGACAACGATAAGATTATGCGAATGCTATGATTCGAAAGAGGGGTCCAATAGATTACAATGGAAAGTTATCGTACAATATTCATTCATAATTGAAATACAAAGATCTTGGCTCATTACTCCGGCAGCTAGGAGCCGTGTATATATATTGAGGGACCCCTCGTTTTTTCGTCTTTCCATCTCATATTTTAACATTGTATTTTTTCTGAGCAGCTTTTGGATACTCGCTTCCACAACGCATACAATGTCTACAGCCGAAGTTTCAACTTCCCTCCCATTCGTGGGAGGCAAGAAAACTACCGTGGAACATCCTCTCGGTCCATTGACTGCTGCAGAGATCTTGCAGAGTTCGCAGATTATCAAGAGTTCATGGCCTGCTGAGGTTACGCTTCAATTCAAGAGTATTACCCTCGAGGAACCAAAAAAGGCTGAATTGGTCCCATTTCTCGCTGCTGAGCATTCCGGAACTGCTCTCCCAAAGATTGATAGAAGGAGTTTCGTGGTTTACTATATTAAGAACACTGTAAGTCTAGTTGCTTGAGTTCCTTCATGTCTATTTTTTCGAGTGGCAATTGGTTTAAATCGCTTGGAAACTGATACTGATATACCTTCTATAGGATAAATTACACGAAGCTATTGTCAACTTGTCTGCTGGACAGGTAGAAAGCAATGTCAGACTTGGCCCCAATGTTCACAGTGGTGCCGACTCGGAAGAATTGGTAGCAGTCGAGTTAATTGCCCTGGAAGATGAAGGAGTAAAAGCCGCAATCGCAAAGCTTCAACTGCCAGAAGGCACTGTAGTTGTTTGCGACCCATGGATTTATGGTAGATTCACCTTAGCCATTTCGAATGAAAGTTGTACTGACAATTTCCAGGTTCCGATGGAGTTAACGAGGGACTTTTCACTGACGATAAACGTTATTTCCAATGTTTCCTTTACATTCGAGACCCCAAGAACCCCAATGAGGTCGATGGTAACCATTACGCTATGCCTCTTACCATTTCCCCCGTCGTCAGTGCCGAGACCATGAAAGTTACACGTATCGATATCGTGCCAACTGGAGCCGACAACACAATCAAGGAAATCTCACCATACAAAGTTCAACCTCCAAACGAATACATCCCAGAAGCACAAGATCTCCGAAAAGATCTCAAGCCATTGAACGTTATCCAGCCAGAAGGTGCTTCATTTGAAGTTACCAAGTTCAGTGAGCAGGGACATACTATCGAGTGGCAAAAATGGAGCTTCAAGGTTGGTTTCAACTTGAGAGAAGGCATGGTCCTCTACGACGTTCACTATGATGGGCGCCCTCTTTTCTACAGATTGTCTCTTTCGGATATGAACATTCCATATGCCGATCCTCGTAACCCATTCCACAGAAAGGCTGCTTTCGATCTCGGTGATGTAGGTGCAGGTATCACTGCAAACAACCTTCAACTCGGATGTGATTGTCTTGGTTCAATCCACTACCTCTCCGCCGTTCTCAATGATGACAAAGGAGGAGTACTTGAAATGCCAAACGTAGTCTGTATTCATGAACAAGACAATGGTATCGGATGGAAACACACAAACTACAGAACCGGCCGTGCAGCCGTCGTCCGTAACAGAGAGCTCGTCCTCCAATCCATTCTCACCGTCGCAAACTACGAATACATTCTCGCCTTCCAATTCAACCAAGCCGGTGAACTTATGTACGAGGTCCGCGCCACCGGTATCCTCTCCACCCAACCTATCGATGAAGGTCTCACCGTCCCATGGGGCACAGTCGTTCACCCCGGTGTTCTTGCCGCCCACCATCAACACATATTTTCTCTCCGCGTGGACCCTATGCTTGACGGCCCTCTCAACACCGTTGTCTACGACGAAGCGCACCCCATGCCACGCAGCGACTTCAACCCCCACGGTGTCGGTTACACTGTTGAAACCAAGCCTATCACCGTCTCCGGCGGTTACGATCTCAACTACGACGTCAACCGCACTTTCAAGATCCAGAACTCCTCTGTCAAGAACCCAATCAACGGAAAACCTGTCGCCTACAAAATTCACGTTCCTCCCTTCCAAAAGATGCTCGCGGACAAGGAATCTTTCCACCACAAACGCGCCGAATTCGCAGACCACAACATTTATGTCACATCCTACCGGGACGGCGAGCTCTACGCGGGAGGAAAATACACCAACCAATCGCGCGGTGGTACCGGTGTGCGTTCTTTCGCTGATCGTCAGGATAACGTGCAAGATGATGACATTGTCGTCTGGGTCCAATTTGGTATCAACCACGTACCACGGATTGAAGATTTCCCCGTCATGCCGGTGGAGATCATCAAGGTTGGGTTGAAACCAGTCAATTTCTTCACCAAGAACCCCGCGTTGGATGTGCCACCCTCGGAGCAAAGCTTCAACAAGAGTGTCTTGGCCAAGGATAGCGCGGCACAGCACAAGCAGGAGGCTGGCGAGGCGGTAATTGGATCCAGCGGAAATGTATGCTGTGTTAAGGAGGGAAGCAAATTGTAAGTGAGATGCGAGGAAGTGAGCTTGACAACAAATATAATTGCCAGCTACGAAGTTGATACGATGACGATGATGTTTCATAGGGGTTAGTCATATTCTACATGTACGGCGTTTGGAATTGCTTGAGATGTATATAGAAGGCGTTGGGAAACACGGATATACCAGGAGAATGGCTAGCTACCTACCAACCCCAAGGAAGGGGATCCTTTTTAGCTGAAAGTCATGTAGAAATATATATTGTACTCCAAATTTTTTGCTGCTGCGTTTGATCTTCATTTGTGATGTGTGAGAGGAAGAGGTGGATGTGAGGTGTGTAAACTCGTGATAGGAATAAATTATCTCGTGTGTTCTTGCTGACGAGTCACATATACTGAACCTCATATAGATTGTATTGGACATGCTGATGTGGATATTATTTATTTCTTGTTTCTTATTCTACATGAATTGTCGTACTGCATGTGCAAATTGCATTGATTGCCCCTGTGAATCCCCCATGCGCGATGTGCGGTTGCAGAAATGTACCGATGGTCCAGTACAGAGTACCACAAAATACCAAAGTAAATACTGTAGCCGATCCAGCTACCAAGCCCAATCCATACCCCCATCCAGTCCCCCAAAAACCATTTGTGCGAATCTTTTTTTTTTTTCGTTTGCCATCCTGCCATAGATTGAATTCCCGTATGAACATTGTGGATCCAACCACTCCATCTGCTTCACTCAAATCCCAATCTCGTTCACCATCATACATAGATATCCCATGCCACAAAACCTATCATCTGCCCATCCATCCGTCCATCCATTTTACAATAAGAAGATCTGCGCCCGAACCCCATTTGCCCAATTTTTCCGTGACATTCCATTGCAAACGCATAAATCATTTCTCTCTCTTCTTCTCTCTCTCTCTCTCTCTCTCTCTCTCTCTGATCTTACAATTCGTTCAAGAATCCTCCAGATTGTGCGAATCTCGTCTGATATTCTCTGAGATCGGCCCAACTACTTAATTCTTCTTCCTCATCAATCACACCATCAGCACTCTCACTCCTAGCACCGGCCGGGCTAGCTCTCTCAAGTTTCATCAAGATATCCAGGAATTTGGCTAGGTACTCTTCAGTTTGTAATGCAAAAGGCCCTTTGCGATTTTGCGGGGTATCGACTAAAGTTGACGCTATTTGGCGGATTTTATTAACCTATAGCAGAAATTATTAGTAAGCCCGTAAATAAAAACACATGAGAAATTAAAAGGGAAGGGTTAACGAACAAAGCTGCCACCATTAGGTTCCATGTTTACTTGTTGAAGACAACTTAGCGCCTTCAGCAAATCCTTCACAATGCTCTCCCTTTCATTCATGACGATAGACTCGATTGAATCTTCTGTTGCTGATCGTGGCAGCATTTCATCCAAACCACTTGCGATCAGACCTGGAGATCCTAATTTGAGATCCCCTGAGCCGCCTGCTTTAGCTTTGAGCTGCTCGTAGGCGTCTTGAAGGTTCCAGTACTTCTCAACAAGATATGACCTGGTGGCCAGCTGACTAGCGTAAATATTAGATTTCATAATTTCGTATTGTCTCCTTCTCTTCTCATCTCCGGTGACCCCATTCCAAGATTGTCCTTCGATTCCACCTGCACGAGCACCCGGGAACCCTTCCAAAGGTGGATAGTAAGCTTCGTTTCGTTGACCAAACTCTCCTGATTCGGAATTTTGGAGAAGCATCAGCTCATTTGGTAATTGGTCCAGAACGTGTTTGGCAGCGTTAAGACATTGTGAGAGCACCCTTCGTTGACGTTGATAGTCGAAGACTTGATCAATTCCGTATGCAACTTCCATCGTTGAAAGAGGTGTGCATGTCATGTAGATCTTAACACCCATGTTAAATCCAACAATGCCTGACAAGATGCCTTCAGGCTGCGATTGGATGTGATCTACAAAAATGTATTCATCGTCAACTTCCACGGGTAGTGGAGGGTATGGTTCGTTTGGGGTTGGTGGCGGGATCAGAAGTTCACCGAATGTTGCACCTATTTGTTGCATTGATCTTGTTCATCAGTAGGACATTTCACGAGGGGGATAGAATTACATACCGAATACCAACAAACATAACCCAGAATAATCTTCTGCCAATCTCTTGACGAATACAATCGACAGGTTCAGGCTGATCAACATATTGAGGGCTTTCAGCACCAAACGTTGCAGGAAGATGGCCTAAGGTAGTCATCCCACCAGTATTCTTGGTTCTATGTGCTCCCAACATTCTTAAAACGTTTAATGTTTCTCCAAAATACAATCTACATTGTCTCCAATTGAATGTGTATGCGCCTGACAATCCCAAAAAATAACTTGTAGCTGCATCGTAGACTGAAAGATCCTTATCGAGATATCCGGCACCCCTAGCTTCAACTGCCACTTTATGACATCTTTCGACCAAATTGAGCGAATGTGGGAACAGATGTTCTCGATGTTGAGCTTTGAGATGTAGCCTAGGCTTTCTAGGAAATGATGCTACCAATATTCCAACCATCGATGCCAACAATGCAAGAAAGGATGAATTCGTTAGGTCTTCTCGATTTTTGAGTGCGACTCGGAATGAAGGCTCATGTGGGAACGGGGCGAGAGGATGTATGTATGTGAAGAAATCATCCACGAAGAGCTCGAGAGTAGCCAGTGGCAATATCGATTCGGCAGATAGAACTGCATGTGAGGAGAACGATGCCAACGTCGCAGCAACATTGTTTGGTGATGTCGGAGAGGAGTAAGATGCGCCACCCGAAGATTCAATCTCGAGTCTTCTCTTTTTTACTGCTTCCGCATGTCGATTTGGTGGACCTCTGCGACGACTTGGTCTATCGAAAGTACATGGAATATCTAGTGCAGCGCATGCTCGACATGGAGGACCAGACTCATCGCACTATGAAGAAAAATAAATGTTTAGTATTTACCCCGCAATATGTAAACATAAAATATGGATGCTTTTGAATTTTTGTAGACTCACCTTGACTTTTCTGATGCTGCATGAATCGCATGCTTTCCGTAATCTATTTCCTTTTGGTACTTCTCCGGTTCCATTCATGGATGATGGTGTTCCAGTTTGAATGGGTAAACTATCATGGCCATTCGTCATTCCATCATTGTACTGTTGCATTGGTGGGGGCATTTGGGGTGATGGCTGACCCTGTGGAGCTCCCATTTGAGGATCATATTGAAAAGAGGGTGAGACAGGTATGCCGAGCTGTTGTTGATGCTGGTGTTGAAGCTGTTGATTGTGGGAAATCAAAGAATCATTTGGCGATGGGATTGATGTCGGACCGTGCAATGGCAAGGAATTGTAGCCATTGTTATTGTTATTGTGACCATTCGGAACTGGGTAGTTGGACATCTTGCCAATAGAAATCCCTGAAGTTATTTTATTTTTTTGGTCGGCGAAGGATGTATACCGGTGCAAATCCGGTAGAATTGGGGAAGAAAGTGGGAGGGGGAGTGGATTTTCTTTTTCCCTTGGTGTTCTGATACGAATTTTTTATTTTTCTTAATCGGAACTTGTAGTCGGTAGGTATGGAGTTGGTTGAGTTTTCGGATCGAAGTTTAGACGTGGGAAGTAGTGAGTGGTACACCAGCAGTTATACATATATAACACGGGTACTGGAGAGGATCGAGCAGTGAATGGATGGATGAATGATTTCAACAAACAACACAACCCACGACAGACAGACAGACAAACAAACAAATAAATAAATAAAAAGATTAATAGGTAGGCTCAACCCCTTTCGAAGAGAATTCTAGAAGAAAGAATTGGAATATAAAACTCTTCACTGTCGTCCTATCAAATGCAAGAATCAATTGAAGAAGAAGCCGATGGTGAATGTGTAAAGTTGTACTCGAGTATATGTAGGTATGTAGGTCTGTATAAGATTCAACCAACTTTTTCTTCTGCTTTTTCTTCTTCTTCTTTCTCTTCTTCTTCCTACAATCCAACCGCTTTTTGAATGTCGAATATTGGGGGGATAAGAGACAAATATTTACACGTTTACAGGGTTGCTATCGATGTAAACCCTTGTAAATTTGAGTGAGAGGGAGAGCTTGACGTTTTCGGGGAGGGACAGAAAGTAAAAAGAGCATTTACTCAATGAAAGGTGGAAATCCTTGGGATGATCAATTCGGACAAGTTGGGATTCGTCGTATATAGACTCATGGATGGGACGCTTTGGAGGGGATTGTGATTCGTGAATGGTTCTTAAGGAGGACAGTGGCTCAAGTGGGAATGATCACCTAGGTATTTGTGGATGTCGATGGCAGTGACAATTGTGAGAAATAAGAGGAATGAGAGGAATCCCTGACGGTGTTGTGATACAAGGGCAGTTGGGTACCATTGATGATCTGTGGTTTCTGATAGAACTCTATTATACTTTCTGAGATGTGGGATATTACTACGATGTTGGATATTGGATATTGGCTACTGGAGACTGGATACTGGAGACTGGTGACTGGATATTGGCTATTAGACGTTGGATTTCTTGGTGAGGCTGTAATAATCTATGTGTGATGAAACTTGAACGTAGACAGATATTGGATGGAATCTCTGTGACAGAGTAACTAAAATGAGTTTGACAAGATGAACCTAATTCGGGGCAAGTATCCAGTATCCAGAATCCAGAAGCCAGGAGCCAGATCCAGCCTGCCAGGTATATGTGATTGCTTGATTACATTTGAAATATAGTTTGAACTTTGATGAAGGGAACTACGGATATAGGAAACTATGGGTATCGAGAACGATGGACCAAGGTATGAACTTTGAAGAATGGGTTGGCGAGATAGTCAGCCAAAACAGTAGAGCGCCAGTAGACATTCCACAGATCAAAGCAGTTAGACATTACGGTCGTTCCAAGGTATTTCCATTTGGCCGTGATATCTACGAGGAACTACGAATAGCATCATCGACAGAGTCCATCCAGATCCATCCAGATCGACGGACTAAAAGATCCTTCTTCTCATATGAGCATTGAACAGTCAAAGTACAACTAACTACAACTCACACCTGCATAGTTTGGATTATCTAATGAATTATCAACATCTTATTGTCTATCTCTCTCCCGGTATCTTTTTCTCATACAGACTAAAATCTTTTAAATGCATCATGGAGAATTCTTTAAACACCCATCTCAAAACCAATCCTCTTCCAGTAAATGATCTCTGGGGACCTGACTTATGCATTGATGCACCGCCATTTCGAACATTTTAGGCGGGGATGGCGGCTTCTAGAAAACCGTTAGATTGATTTGGTTTCTAAATCCTGAATTTATATTATAAGCTTATGCATTCTTTCTCCAATACAGCATAGGATGCGGGAACGTTGACCAGATATTGGGTACAGACTGCAGATTCCAGAGTTTTGCTTCCCGAGCCCAAATATCTTGCATGGAATGAAGAAGAAGAAGAAGCAGAAGAAGAAGCAGAAGAAGAAGCAGACGGAGAACAAGGACGCAAGTTGCTTTGGACCCCGACATGTGCATGCATGCTTGGAAGTCACAATGTCACATTTCTCATGTTGTTCGTGGTAAAAAGGACCGAGAGAGAGAGGGAGGGAGAGAGAGAGAAATACTTGATAAATTCCCTATCTCCTTCTCCTGGCTACAGTTTTTTCCCAACTCAAGCACTTACGTATCAAAGGAAATACCTCGATAACGGTATCTCTCTGACTTCTTTCATCACACTGCTTCATCGTCGTCATCGGCATTATCATCATCATCATCATCATCATGATCGTCACCATCAGCAGCAGCAGCAAGCAGCAGTAGTGATTGTGGCCCGTTAGGTCAAGTCCGGAAGGTTGCAGTGTAGAACTTTGATGCAGCATCTGATACAATTTAGAGTTTTCCTCTACATGCACCTACCCGGGCTCGCCAGGGAATGTGTAATCTTTACGGTGAGGCCGATTGAGCAAATCGCGCAACTGATGCAAATACACGAGATACACAAATCTCCTAAGCTTCTTCCAGACTTCATTCATCAATCTTGATTCTTCACATCGCAATAAACTTTATTAGCTGCGAGTCATGTTTTCTCGTCACAAATTGAATGCAGTGCGCATGCCGCACGCCGCACGACGCACATACCAAAACTCCATCAACAACTTCATTTGGATCCGAATGCTGAGTCTTTCCCCATCTTACCCATCTTGCCATGGACTCATTGCTCTTGAGATTTCCTCCACCAATAGCTACACCCAGCATGACGCTCTCCCGTTGACAGGTCTCAAATGCTCCATACTCATTTTGTCAGACTTTGTCACTAATGTGATCTGTAACAAGCTGAAGACGCTGGGCTGGGGATATCTCTACATAAGGTTCAACACCTTACTCCAACTACTTTCTGGGAGTCGGGCCATTATACCATGCCATCCGTACGAAAGTAACATCATCTCTATGAGATTGCGTTTGATCTCTTGACCGCTAAATGAAGCAGGATCATCGAGGCAACTCGAGGTAATTACGAAAATCAATGTTTCCTCCTCATACGCTTCATCTTTTAGAGTTTTGGGTAAGATTTATACTCAAGTTTTGATTGGATTCCATTTTTGCACAAGGGAGTCGATCGCAAAAATCACAATCTACAGCTGCATAAGCTTTTCCCTGAGAGGGGTCCTACCATCGATCTTTCAAGGTTTATTGAGCCTACGTTGCAACCAAAAAGAAGGGTAGCAAGATCGTATGATGGGTCGTACCCGTCCGTTCACCAAGTCCTCTATTGGTAAATCATTCCCAATGACAAGTCTCAACTTCAAACGTCACCCGTCGCCCCGCTGTCATCTTTCTTTCCAAATACCATGCATGCATGCGTCAAATCAACCCTTTCAGCTACCGCCAATACCGTGCGTATACGAGATATATCGGAAAGCATGATATTTATAGGGAAAAATCGGGTGAAGAATTATGCGGCAACATCGGTTCATCCTGCACGTACTCATAAGGCTATAGGCTTATTAGAGTACTTGGAACAACAACAAAGCCAGCAAGATCATTGCTGTCTTACAGCTTTGCAATATATGCATAAAATCCCTCTTTCTAAGCAAAGGAAAAGAGCAGATAGGGCTACTGAGAGACTGCAGTGTCCTATCTCATTTGTCTTTGAGATGTCACACCACAAACGAGAGCAACCAAGCTGACTTATTTTCTAGCATTAGACTAGCTAGCATCAATTTAACCTTACCGGTATTCTCCTAAAAGTCGGGATGTTTGTAGCACAGAAATGCCAACACCCAAGCCTACGAGTATACAAGACTTCGACGGTCGTAGCCTCCCAATGTGCACACAGGCAAGCTAAGCCTTACTTACTAGGTACTTTCTAAGTATGGCCATGGCCTTCGTGGGTTGAAGCTTACCATCACTCTTGGCAAGGTGGAACATTTATTAAAGATTTTAGTGACTGTAAGTTTGTAACTTGCCGGCAAATGCCTGCAAACACTGATGGTTGTCGACAAGGCTCAAGCTATCCATGGGGTTTCAAATATCACTGTTGAGTTTTCAAAGCAACAAAATGGGCTTTTGTTTTATCGCAATTTGAGGTCTTCCACTCAGCTTTTGGCTATTCAATCTGGTGCCAACGTGTTTTCTTGGCCTAGATCTTGGAATAGCACGTTCCTGAATTCCGGTAGCGGGTTGCTTCATTTGCTTAAGGTTTATTTTCTGGCTTCACTTTCCCCAACTGTCGTCGACTTGGTTGTCGAAGGGTAATACCCATGACTACAGTAGTGAGTTGCAGCTTACTGGTTAGGGACAAATTTGCGGAAACATTGAATGAACCCTGGACCCATCAGTACCATGCTTATGCGTGGCTAACTAGGCATGGTAGCTACGCGTGCATGCTTACAATGCGGTCGATGTGTCAATACCCCTTCACAGGGCCCACTCTCTCGAAGTCAACCTTGAACGCTCAGCCTTTTAACTTTCATGATTTCATTTTGGTTGCACCCTTACAGCACCACAATTCACGTGTTGCTTCGGTCATATTATGGGGCTCTGCTCTTCAAATTGTACCGAATTATCTACGGATAGCGGGTATCCCACAAATGGACACAAAGGAAATCTCCGCTTTACCAATTTTGAGCAGATGCGGTAAGGAAGCCGATCTGGAAATGTGAATCGCTTCCATACTTACGCATCTGGATTAGTATGCCGCAGATGATGTCAGGAAAGGTTGAAAGCTTTTTCACCTGCATTTATCTTTCACTATCGGTGACACCATCGGTGAATACTAAATAGGGAGTGCTTACACAATGTTATGAAAACCCTAATAATCATCTCTTGTGGCTGGGGTTGATGGGGCTTGTAGTCAGTCATGTCTTGTTTACCCCAGAAGGTTTAATCTTAGCTTGCGTGTTCAACGAGCGCAGCGCGGGTATCATTTAACTACCGGAAACATCCGACGACAAACGCCCCGGGACTCGTATTTATCTAATCTAATGGTACAATGAGACAGACTAATAGCCGCAATCATAATAGCAGTCTAGCTTGGACCTCCACTCTTCTCACATCTTAGTAAACAACTTCTTGGATTTAGCTAACCTTGCCATTATCAAGAATGCAGTCCCAATGAGCAAGTCAGCAGCGGCAAAGATTTGCGCGTACTCATATCCCCCATTTTTCTTTTGAATCAACACTCCTCCGATAGGAGGACCTGTCAAGACAGCAAAACTTACAACGGTAAATACCATTCCCATTCTAACGCCAGCTTTTCTCAGGTCTGTGGTGAGACTACTTAAGGTGGCTGGAAAGAGTCCTTGGATACCTGCCGCAAAGATTCCATACATAACCGACCATGCATACAAACCACCTCTTGATGATACGGCAATCCAGCAGAAGCAGAGAAGGCTGTCTATGATTGCCATTGGAATAAGTGTATTCAGGGGTCCAAATACTCGATCTGCCAGGTGGTTTGGTAGGACGCGACCTACTACCCCAACGGCATTCAGTATGATTATTATATTTATCGATTCTGCAAGTGGCAATCCGATGATTGATCTTGCGTACGCTCCAAGGTAATAGAAACCAAAGTATAAGCCCCAAAAGTTCTGTTTGCTATCGTCAGTGTGTGTCAATTAACACATGATTGCCACAACTTACGAAAAACATCCCAATTGCAAATAACACATATGGAGCATCTTTGAATGATGGATAGTCTATCAAAGCACCACTCTTCCTCGGAGGAACTCTCTGCTTGATCCCAATATTGCAAATTCCAAGACACACTAATTGAATAAGACCCAGCGATCTCATCGTCCACCCATATCCAATTTTGGGCAATAACTGCTGCACCATAATTGGAAAAATCACACCACCAGTTGCACTTCCCGCAGCCGCAATCCCTATCACTAAACTCTTCTTGGTACTAAAATACGTACTGAGAGTTGCAAGAGCAGGACAAAATAAACAGCCATTACCGAGACCCATACAAATTCCTTGCGCCAGGAATACTTGCCAATAGGTCGTGGAGATGGAGGTCATGAAGATTCCGACGAGACCGATAATGGTGCCGATGAGGAATACGGAGCGGAAATATCCAGCGTCGGTAAGACGCCCGGTAAAGGTACCGACGAAAAAGAGGAGGAAGATTTGCACGGAGCCGATCCAGGAGATATCGGAGGCGGGGCGGTTGAGGCTGGTGACGTAGTACGTTTGGAAGACGCCGAAAGAGTTTATGAACCCCCTGTGGTGGTGTCAGATTGAATGCGAGGTATTGAAAATGGTTGGGAATACTTACCATGTGTTCATGATGACGAGATGACTGAGGATGACTGTGGAAATCAATGAAGTCAATGCATGATTCGGTAAGATCTAATATTAAACCACTGACATCTCCCTAGCAATTTTCTGCAATTCAATTTAATTTACAGTTTAGGCGTACTTCGGCGCGGTATTCTCATTTGTCTTGTATTTTTCTTCTCGCATCTATGTTCGCAGTTTTCCTTGGACTTGTACCTGCACTTGCGAGGGTTGCACACTGCTACTTCGGATGACGACTACTATCACGCGAGATATTTCGGTGTCTGCTCTCTCAATGCTCTCCCTACATTTTCTCGCCATTTCAACGGTGCTCCTTCCCTTCTCCTTTTCAAGCCACAAACTTCCTCACACGTATTTATCGTTTCATCCCTTCTCCAATCCCACCTCCCGCTTCTTACCCCGCAAAAAAAAAAAAAAAAAAAAAACTGAAAACGTACCTTGCACCCAAGCTTTCATTCCTCCATCCGGCGGCGGCCCCAGAGCTCTCCAACTCGCGGTCGTCGCCTGAGTTCCATTGGTTCGAGTTCTCCGCGCTAGCGTTTCTGCAAATGCTGCGTCTTTTTCCTCGGAGCCGGTGCTTAGCTCGGGATCGGAGTGATCGTGATCGTGGGGTGAGGTGGCGATTTCTTTGTCGGGATCGGAGTTTTGTGTTGGATTGGATGCGAGGTATGGGTAGGTGATGTAGGTTTCTTCGGTGGAGGTTTCTCGATGCATGGGATTGGAATTGGGATTGGGATTGTAGTTCGCCATTTTGGATGGAGATCCCAATTGGGGCTTATGTATATGGTATGGTGTGATATAATATAATATTCTGAAATCCAGCAAGCTTTCTAACAGAAGAATCTTGATTTATATAAAAGAATCTATCTAAAAATTGGAATCCTCGGAGAGAGAGGGAAAAAATTCATCGTCTGAAGCATTCACTTGTAGGAGTCATAGATAAAAATGATGGGTTGATTGATAGATAGATACCGGTAGATAAAGTGGATCCCCCACACCGAGCGAGCAAGTCTTGAAGAAAATATCGTAGGGGAATGGAGTTGAAGCTCGGATGATATGAAGGGGTAGATGATTTGTAGATGTATGTATGTATGTAGATGTGTGAGGATATTATAACGCAGGGCGATTGTCGATTTTTATAGATTGGAAAAGCAGATAGATAGGTTTCTATTTCCATATGGATTTTTGCTTTTTGCTTTTTGATCTTTGATCTTTGACTTTTGATTTGCAATCTTCACACGCCGATTTGAGGTGAGGGTGTGGTGTGTGGTTACTAGATATGTAGGTACTGGGTAGGGACTGAGTAAGTAAGTATTGACTGAGTAGTGTACTACTCTCTGGTGTACTACTCTTTGGTGTCTGGTAGGTAGGTAATGGTAATGGTGATGGGAGATTTTATTCCCGGCTCGGATGTTGGGGCCGAGGGTGGGGGTGAGGGGATGGGGATGGGGATGAGGAGGGGATGCAGGTAGGTGGATTTGTATGTTTATATGTTTATATGAATATGAGGTTGAGTGTGAGAGCATAGAATAGTGAGCGAGGTGATGGATGGATGGCTGGAGTGCTGAGGATTCGGGTATCTTGGTAGGCGAGGAGAGCATATGCAGATATACATCGAAACCCGAGTACAGTAACCGAAATCTTTGGTTGTAGAAATTGATGTATAGGTCGGTATTGAAGAAAAGAGATATATGATACATGGAGGTGAGTAATCGGATTGTTTATTCCTATTATTATGTATATCTATATACTCGGGCTTATAGTTGTAATTCTTTCGACTACCTACCTGACTTGACTGATTGCTTTGCTATCGAGGGGACAAAATTGATGCGTCGCGAAGGATTGAGGAAGTTGGGATGATCATAGACGAATAGAGAGGCAGATGCATCCATCCATACATACAAACCCAAATCGATAGCAGATCACCTCTGATGACAAACAAACGTATGGACAGCAAAAAAAACAAAGGCAAAAGCAAAAACGCGGGGTTGCAACCCCGCTGTCTGATTACAACTGCAATATTTCACTCAAGTACAGAACGCCAATCTATTACCGGTAATCTATTATTTTCCTACTCTTATCTTTGAAAGGATATCTACTATCATACTTGGTACGTACGACGAGTTCAAGCTACTGGTCTGGTGCTCGAAGCCCAATATACGTACAGTGCGAGTACCTACCTAAGACATGTCGAAATAAAGGGTCACTCGCTATACTTTATGGATATTATGCAACAGACTAACACAGGCACTGACACTGACAGAAGCCAAGACGGGAGTAGCCTGCCGGGATGATATCACAGGACGAATGAGAAGGAGAGAGGATGAAGTCGAAGCCGATGTCGCTGTCGAACGATATTAATATGAAAGGTGTGAGGATTTCTTGGGTAAAGAAAGCGTAAATGCTGCATGGTAAGTGAGCCCTGAGCACCGAGTAGAAAAGGGAAGTGTGCCGAGCGAGAGCGGGTAGGGATGCATGCCAAGAATCCAAGATGAATAATTGAGTTTGCGTCTGTGTGTAGCTTTTGATTGCAGGTGGGAGCCGTGCATGGCATGGTGATGGGCCCTGGCGAGCCGGCCCTGATTTTTGGGTATGGAGGGAGGGATGAATGGATCATGGATGAGACACGGACGGATGCGGATGAGGACACGGATACGGATGTGTGAAATGGCGGTAAGGAGGTGTGGATTTAATGTGGTATTATCCGGGTGCGCTGAAGGATAAGTTTTCCGGGCGGACGGGGCATTGAAAGGTTTGTCTGCGGGCTCACCGGGAGTATGTTTATTTTTGGATGGGAATGTGTAAACTTAACTCTTGCTTTTGCATGAGTGATCCTGGATTAAAGGATTCCTTATACTTCGTAGAAAGGTGTGAATACACTAATGCACCTAAATAAAATAGAGATTTTACATAAAATCATTCTGAAGCGAATTCAAACCATCCACATTGTTGCATTGAATACTTTGCATTGAATACTTTGCATTGAATACTTTGCATTGAATACTTTGCATTGAATACTTTGCATTGAATACTTTGCATTGAATAGTGAGATTACTGATCTTTTTAGGTCTTTTCGAACCTTTCCAGATTCAGATATGCAATAAAACTTACCATGAAGGAAGCACCGAATCAACTACAAGCTAATATCTTTCTATCAGAGATAATTCCATAAGGTTCACCAATTTCGGGGCTTGGGGTATAACATAATGTATCGAAGGGGCTGAGTGCGGGTCAGTTGGTCACTTGATGAGTGTGGTAGGTTTGGTATCTTGGGTGAGTTTGTGAAGCGAAGAAATAAGAAAGAGCTACTGGAGGTTGATTTGATAGTGTGTGAAGTATACGTTGTCTCGAAAGTGTAACAGAGCAAGTCAGATCTAATTACCTCAACCGATGTGTCATATGGTCGAGTGTCTTACAGTGACTTGAATAGAGAACGAAAGATGAGAGCTTGTAGATTGCCTAATGCAATGAGATGAGCTGAATAGCTGTAGCGTATTGCTATGGAATCAGAGCACGTTTCGTTCTGGGCGGATCTCTCGTATACATGAGTATAAACTCCTATCCCGAACATTTATGTTACTTTATGGCCATCTATAAATTGGAACAAAACCAAATGTTCGTACATTCCTTACATCCCGTATGTCCGAGACCCTCCTCCATTTTCCAGTCACAGGGAATGCTCATTTCTAAGACACAATCTTTTCATACCCCATATAAGCATGTCTTACTTCAAGTATAAACCTCAGGCTTTCTCAATCTCATCACATTATCCTCAACACCAAATGCCAGATGTTCAACTTCAACATTCCCATCCATCCCTGCCATTTCCTCCACAGGATCCTTTTCCAGCTCTCCAAATCTCAGTCTCGTCTTTACCATTTCCTTGTCAGTGGGTAGTGGGCCCATGCAATGATCCTTGTATAGAGCATCGAGTTCGGGGTTGCACGTCGTGGCGACGAGAGCTGAGAAAGCGGTGCTATGAGTGACGCCATTGCTGATGCATGATGATATGCCTATGATGATACTCATGGAAGCTACGAAAGCCGCGATGCTGTAGGATAGCGTAAAGTGTTTGTTGATCTTCCACATGTTACATTGACGTATTTTAATTTCCTGTAAAATGACTGTTAACACGGCCGCCTGTAACTGGGTAAAAATACTCTCTTCTTTTGTGGTGTTGCTTATTGCTACCCTACACTGATTTCCAAGATACAGTAGTAATGATAATGCTAGAGGAATTTGAATTCTGCGAAAACTTCAAGTTTTTGAAAGTTGCTCACGTCAGTTGAGTTGCGCTGAGCATGCTTATGGTGAAGTTTTCATAGAGATCATCAATTGCTCGATTCAAAGTTCGATTGCGACACATGAATTGAGACTTGTCAAATATTTTGGCAGTGGCATTGATTGGCAGACTTTGCTGGCCAAACATCGACAAGCTGAAACACACAGTGAAGCGGGTTGTATTGCAGTCATAGTCCTCTATCCAGTGACACTCACTAGTGATGCTTTTCACAAATTCGTCTTTCCACAGACTGTTAGTAAAATCCCTACATTCCTACATGCGTTGAGCCTACTTCTTGATTTCAAGCTAGAAAATTCGTGGATTAGAGGTTTCCCACTAGCTTCAGAAAACTCTTCACGCACAGTAATGCTACTCAGTACGATGTTGCATAAAGCTACAAACGATACGATGTAGAAGTAATGTTCAGTACATGGACAAGGCTTGGAGTAGTCGAAGGCGTCAGCGTAAGACTCCATTAGTATAGGCTCAAACCGTGTGATTTGAAGACTGGTGATTGTTTGATCGCCATTTTCGATATCAGAATCTACTTTGTAAGATGTGTTATCTAACGAGTATACGAGATTATCTCGCGAGGTCTATACCCATAATTTTATTTTTGGTTTCGAATGGATACTTGAATTAGACGTTAGAGACCAGAGGTTCTGACTATCGAAACCTAAGGGGTCAAACTCCGCAAAGGACGGCGTCAATAGAGAAAACATAAGCATTGGAAAGCCAGGTTCAAAAGAGGAAAACAAGGTTGAATTAGGAATAAGAATAGTGTCTGGGAATGGAGGTGAATCAAGCGCTATTGTATCAACAGGAAGTGAGGCGGAAAATCTGTTGAAATTTTGCTTTTGAACCTCTGTTGATGTTGAACATTTTATGGTCGGCCCCCAAACTGTAAGTAGTCACAGGAATTATCGGCCAGTATATAATGCGGAAGAGCATCCAGCCTTTCGGCTGCAGATGCTGTAAGTGCGGAAAGTTCGCCTGTCGGCCGAGCGATTGCATCGAGCCTTGAATAGTACGCTCCTTCCGAGCACCAACCAATTGTATCGAACATTGGATAGTTAGAAACCTTCCGAGCTCCAGTCGAGAGTTGGAACTTCCGCCGGCTGGATTTCAATAGAAATTCCTAGGACCACAGATAAACTAGCAGGCGGTGCAATAGTTGCTAGAGCTACCAACCTGTGCGAGAGATAAAAAACAACAGTCGTGACTTACTCTGTAGGAGGGGGGAGTTCCTATTAGGAACACAATGCTAATGATAGTACAACCGATTTAGCATATGCGGGTACTTCAACATTGAAGAAACCCGTAGGTGTTAGTTTCAAGCAAAAAGATCGTCAAGCCCTTTGAGTGAGAAAGGATACTGTCTGAGCGACGTCCATAAGTGCTGATCGTAAGCTGCTCCTATTGCGGCTGCAAATAGTGAAGCAGTGGCATAAACAAACATAGTACCAAACTTGATAACCAATTGCTGGCGTAATGGTGACCCATCCGCAGTTTTATCAAGGGAGGAGAAATAAAGGTGATGCCCAATGGCTAGAGCATACCCGCACAAAACGCGCGATATCAAAAACCAGAGGGGTTGCCATGCAATTCACCATTTATTTCACGTAGTGTCGTGATTTATGGATCTTGCAGGAATCTAGCGAATGGAAAGGTACATCCACACCGGGACCATTGACACAAATGGATTGGGGTGAGCCCTGGATGTCAATCGAATTTTGCGACAACAAATTATTACATTCAGGATTACTTTGTGAGGCATTATTTTGTGAGAATGTGCTCGCATTTTCGTGTCCTCGGGCCATGCTAGGCTGATTGCCATAACTAATTGTCATGGTGTGCTTGATATGACTATTCAGCTGTGTATACAAGAGAACAGTATGAGAATATGGAACGAGCGAATCAAAACCGGATGCTTTGGTCATACAATCCGCGCAAAAAATCGCGATCCTTAAACCAGATGTCAAGTCAAGATGACAGCGAAATGTTTAGCAGATGCCGAATGGTTCCAATCCCCACGTCCTGGGAAAAGTCATCTTAGAACTCGAAATGACAAAAAACGGGTTGATTTCAGAAAAATGGTAGGCTTATGGGAATTTATTTTGTAAGCATTTCGCATCAAGAGAGACTTCGCCCACGACAAGAGTTTTGCGGATGCATCCTACATTGCATTCGTACAACACACAAGAATAGGCCAATAGAGTACAAAGATTGTTCCACACTGGTAGCGCAATACTTGATTTCTAACGCGTACCACGAGGGTAGACTGATGATGATTATAGACCCAGGTAATCTGGGGATTGCCAGCTATCGACTGAATATATCACCTGGATCATGATATATTGTAATTTCTCTATAGAGTCTCGGGATTTATTGAGCATTTGAAATTATGATCAAATGATATATATTTGTCAACTTTGTCCAACCCATTAAGATTGAAAAAATGAATAGAAATCAAGAAAACTAATTTCGAGATTAAAGAGAGAGAGCGAGAGAGAGAGAGCATGGCGAGGGTTCGTGAGAAGAAATGGAACCGTGGGACCTGAGGCAAAAACTATTTTATTTGTTCGCTTACTAGCGTCCACGTGCGCCCACACAATTGCTTGAATTCCTATTAACATTTTTCGAACTTTCAAAGTCTCACCAAAGACATCGACAACCACACGGCACTCTTTCAACGACAAGATGCCTACCCATTTGAGCAAAACCCGCAAGCAGTACGTTCTATCCCTCGAAATCGCAATTTCCTATCGACAAAATTACAAACCGATTGAGCGCGCGCGCCCAGATCAATTCCCCTCGAAGTTGTTGATAGTTTATTGGATGAAGGATTGAAAAAGAATTGAAGCTGACGAGATTTTTTTCTGTATAGCCGCGGTCATGTTTCCGCCGGTAAAGGTCGTGTAGGAAAGCACCGCAAGCATCCAGGTGGTCGTGGTCTTGCTGGTGGTCAACATCACCACCGAACCAACATGGATAAGTACCATCCAGGTTACTTCGGAAAGGTCGGTATGAGATACTTCCACAAGCAAGGCAACCACTTCTGGAAGCCAGTTGTCAACCTTGACAAGGTACGTTCCGTTCTACGATGATTTGGATCGCGGGGGAAGTTGAGAAACTTTTGAGATGCGATGAATATAGCACAAAAGTACGTTTACTAATATTGTTCTCTAGCTTTGGTCCCTCGTCCCAATCGAGAAGCGTGATGAATATCTTTCCGGCGAAAAGAAAGACACCGTGCCAGTCCTCGACCTCCTCCCACTCGGCTACTCAAAAGTTCTCGGAAAGGGTAGAATCCCAGAAATACCATTGGTTGTACGCGCAAGATGGTTCAGCAAGGAGGCAGAGAGAAAGATCACAGAGGCTGGAGGAGTTGTTGAATTGGTTGCATAAATGGGAAAATTCATAGCGAATGGATTATAGGTTTTCTCAAAATACCATAAATGGCTTCTGAACAAATGGCTATTGGAGTTCTTGATGAAAATGAAAGGAATTATGAAACCATTTTTTCGTTGGTGAATTGATTTTCATTACTATGGGTGCTATACTATCTGAGAGAAGGTTCGCTTTTTGAAGAAACCTCTACACCCAGATTGGGTGCTATGTAAAACAGTATCTTAAGGACCGGCATGCAAGATCTCCATGTCCTCACAATACTAATATATACAATAAAGTCCCAAAACAAATTTACCATACTCCCCATAATCCCAAATGCGCCAATAAAGCCATTCATTACGCTGGAATCATACTCAATTCGTCCTCATCATAATCTTCGTTCTTGATGTCATCTTGCGTTGGTTCCAGAAGGAATGGATGATTCAAGGCATCTTCCGCGCTAATACGTTTGTGTGGATTGAGCTCCAAGCAGCGCTCCAGAAATTCTACGGCCAGTTTCTCTTCCTTAGTCAATGGCTGTTCCGCTCCATCTGGTCCTCCATCATTTCTACATGTTGACCATAGGATGATTTTCTCCAACGCGAACCCAGCCTGGCCAATCGTAGGAATATTGGTTTCGAAAACAGTCCCGTGAAGATAAGCACAGTTCTTCATTCTCTTGACTCCAAATATGGTAGCAATCTCAATCATTGCCTCAACATCGTCAGCCGAATTAAAGAACGGGAAACGTTTTGAAAGTATAGTCAAAAGTATTACTCCGGCAGACCAGATGTCAATTTTCGTCCTTTGCTCTTGACACTTGAAAAGCACCTCGGGAGCCCGAAACCCACGAGTTCCAGCTCGATTTGCACGCCGCGATGGTCGACTGTCATGTTTTGGATAGCCAGCCGATGGCAAATTTTGAACGGCTACACTATTCTCCAGCTTCCTCTTGCGTGTGTCATAATCTCGTGTACACAGACAAGATTTGCAATCCTCTTCTTCTCGCTCTGCTAATCCGAAGTCCACAAGTACGCCCCTTTTCTTATCTGGCTCATAAAGGAAATTCGTCGGCTTGATGTCCCGATGAAGAATACCCTGCGCATGAACGGCCTTTAAAGCGGTGAACAACGACCGAAAATACACCTGCATGTCAGAGACTTTCATCTTCCTGAAATATTCCCTGAAATCCGTATGTCTGAAATATGGTAAGACTGCAACTACTTGATCGGTATGTCTAAATGCTGTAATGAGAGGGCAGACTGAATCGCAGCCTCGGAGGTCGTTTAAGAGTTCTAGCTCATTGAGAATTCGAGTTGGACTGCTTGTAACATAAATTTTCTTTATGGCAACATATTTTTTCCCACGGCGATGTTGATTATATTGGTCCAAGACTTCTCGAATTCCACCGGTCCTC